GGGTGAATTATCGCGGGATAACCCATATTTGGGAGGGGTGAATTATTGCGGGATAACCCGTATTTGGGAGGGGGTAAATTATTGCGGGATAACCCATATTTGGGAGGGGTGAATTATTGCGGGATAACCCCCTGTCTGGGGCTGCTTTGGAAGCTCTTCCCGAGCAGTCCCAGGCTCCTGGGCTGGCACTTCCCGAGCTCAAAGGTTTCCCTGTCCGGGCTCCTCCCGAGCTGCAGCCAAGGGCGAATTCCAGCGGCGATACCAGCCCGGGGCTGGGTTTCCATGGTGAAGGCATTTGGGGTTTGCTGTGAAAAGCCGGGTTTTTGGGAAGGTTTCAGCCGGGAATGGCACATTTTGTCCATCCCCAGGCTGCTCCCTGTGGGGGGAAAAAGAGCTTTGAAAGGGCCCTGAGAGCCTTGGGGACAGCCTGAGCTCAGTTCTCACAGTGCTCTGCACTCCAGGAGTCCCCTCTGGCCCTGGGATGCTGGGATTTGTCCTGGGATCTGCTTTTCCTCACCCAGGAACTGTCCCAGCTCCTTCCCCAGCTCCTTTTGCTGTGTTAGCCCACACTAAACCTGATTTATTTCATTTTCTGAGATGCTGCTTCAGGCCCTCCTGTGTGAAAACCAAACGTTGATCCAGGGATTTTGCATCCGAGGAGCTGCAAGTTGCAGCTCTGAGCAAATGAAGTGACCTCATCCTCTCTCAGCCTTGTGTGTGTCCCTGGGAGGCAAAAACCTGGTTGAAAACTTAAGGCACTGTCCCAGCTCCTTCCCCAGCTCCTCCTGCTCTTACAGCCCACACTAAACCCAATTTATTTCATTTTCTGAGGCGCTGCTTCAGGCCCTCCCGTGTCAAAACCAAAGGAAAATGTTGATTTTGCATCTGAGGAGCTGCAAGTTGCACCTCCGAGTAAATGAAATTTATGCGGCCTCATTCCCTCCCAGCCTCATGTGTGTCCTTGGGAGGCAAAAACCTGGTTAAAAACCCAATTTAGGCTTCCCAAGTATTGCTCACCTGCCTTTCTAACAAAACAAGGAGTTTTTGAAGTGGCATTTTTGCCTTTCCTGGGCTCAGCCAGGACACCTCCAGTGCCCTGGGAGCTGTGCTGTGCCCTTGGCCTCTGGAATGCTCTTTTCATTGATATTTTCTGGGAACAAAAAATGCCGGCTTTGTATCCACTGCCCCTTTTCTTTGCCCACGCAGAAGGGGAGGGAGGGGAAAAAAAAAAACCGACTCAAATATTTTCTTGTAACAAAAGGCTGCGGGTGAATCTGGATCAGCCTCTCTGCTCCGTTTCAGGCCAAATCTCCAGGGTTTTCAGCGGAGAAATTAAAACACTGGAGCTCTCTCTTTTCTCCCGCAGAACAAACAGGAGCGGTTCCCACTTCCTCCCGCTCATAAACAAAACCAGCCCGACGTCTCCAGGAGAAACCCTGCCAGCAGACTTTCCTTTCTAATTGTTTGGTGTTTTTTCAGCTCTGATTAGTATTCGGCAGCGCCTGGCACGGGGGCTGCAGGATTCGGGAGCAGCAAATTCAGGCTCCCAGCAAATCCTCCCCTCTGTCCATCCCTTTCACCTTCTCCCTCCCTCTGCTTTGTTTCCAGTCCCCCTTCCCGGGCAGGGGTTTGGAACTGGGTGATCCTTAAGGTCCCTTCCAAGCCAAACCATTCCCTGGTCCTGTGAAATTCCTGTTTTTCCCTTGGAGGCTTTGCTGTCCTTGCAGGAACTTTAAAATTAAATACGTTTAAGTAACTTGGAAATTNGCAAGGGCTGGACATGAGGTTGTGCTGCAGTGTCCAAGGTCACTGCTGTCCCTCACCCTGACCTTTGTTTCTCCACAGGTTCTGGAATCCCTGCAGGGACAGCTCCCGTGGGCCCCAGGAGCTGTGGAACCCCCTCGTGCCAGCGGTGAGGACACAGGGCAGGAGTGGCACCCGGTGAGGACACAGACAGGAGTGGCCCTTGGCAAGGACACGGGGCAGGATGGCACCCGGTGAGGACACGGGGCAGGAGTGGCACCCAGAGAGGACACGGGGCAGGATGGCACCCAGTGAGGACACACAGCAGGATGGCACCCGGTGAGGACACAGACAGGAGTGGCACCTGGTGAGGACACAGACAGGAGTGGCACCTGGTGAGGACACAGACAGGAGTGGCACCTGGTGAGGACACGGGGCAGGAGTGGCACCTGGTGAGGACACGGGGCAGGAGTGGCACCCGGTGAGGACACAGACAGGAGTGGCACCCGGTGAGGACACACCGCAGGATGGCACCCAGTGAGGACACAGACAGGAGTGGCCCTTGGCAAGGACACTGGGCAGGATGGCACCTGGTGAGGACACTGGGCAGGATGGCACCCGATGAGGACACACAGCAGGATGGCACCTGGTGAGGACATGGGGCAGGAGTGGCACCCGGTGAGGACACAGACAGGAGTGGCCCTTGGCGAGGACACGGGGCAGGATGGCACCCGATGAGGACATGGGACACACAGCAGGATGGCACCCGGTGAGGACACACAGCAGGATGGCACCCGGTGAGGACATGGGACACACAGCAGGATGGCACCCAGTGAGGACACACAGCAGGATGGCACCCGGTGAGGACACACAGCAGGATGGCACCCAGTGAGGACATGGGACACACAGCAGGATGGCACCTGTCCCCTCCCGAGGCTGGATTGTCCCCGATGGTTCCTCTGGGCCTCGCCTGGGCTTTGGATGCTCCCTTCTGTCCGCAGCTGGAATGGCAGGGCCGTTCCTCCTGCTCCTCCCAAATCCCGTGGATTTACTGCTTCTGGCTGCTTTTCCATCGTCCTGCTGGGACTGGCTCTGGCACAGGGAATCTCCGAGGGACGGATGGGGACAAGCAGCACCTGCAGCCTGAGCCTGCCATTCCCTCTTTTTCTGGGCTGCTCTGAGCGTGCTGGCTCTGCAGGAGGAAGGATTCCATGCCCTGCTGGAGGACAAATCCTGCTGCTCTGATGTGAGTCAAGAACATGGATTTTTCCTTTTTTGTTTCTGTTTTAAGCACCTTCCTGTTGGACTTCTTGGGAATTACATTTTCACTGTCTGGAGGAAAAAAACTGCCCAAACCTGGGTGGGAATGAGGGAGCAGCCAGGTTTGTTCTGACAGCTGGCCTGGCTGCTTTAATCAATACATGAATTTTTTAGTGCCATTCCAGCTTGAAATCCCCAACAGGAATTCTCTTCCTGGAGTTTTATTGCTGAGAAATGGATAAAAGGTTAAAAAGGCTGCAGCTTCCCAGCAGGTTTTGCTTTCTTTCCCTCAGGAGGGGAATCCTGGTGGTTTTCCACCCTCCAAGCCGGTGGTGGCTGCAGGGGGATCCTTGTCAGGGTCACTGGGGACAATGTGTGACAATGTCCTGAGGGCCCCTGGTGGCTCCCTTTGGAAGGGAGGCTGCTGTGAACCTCTTTGGGTTGAAAAAATCCATTTTCCTAATAGAAAATGATGCCAGACTTTGGATTTTGAGGGGACTTGTGCTGGTGTTGTGACCTGGGTGTGACATGGGACAGCTGGGGGACTGAGGGGGTTTGGTCTGGGCGAGGGAGGATGGGATGGGATTTCTTGGATGGAGAATGAGCTGCTGTTGATGGGTTGGGATTTCTTGGATGGAGAATGAGCTGCTGTTCATGGAATGGGATTTCTCGGGTGGGGAATGAGCTGCTGTTGGCCACAAATCCAGGAAGGTCTGCTGTTTGCTCTTCCCAGAGGAGGAAAATGCAAACCTGGAGCTCTGAGTGGCTGCAGCAGCTCTTGATCCAAGGATCAGCTATCGATCCATGCCCCCATTGCCACAGGTTGTAACCTTTGGAAGGGATTTCCCATGGATCTGACCCATGTCCCCAGTGCCACAGGTTCCCTTTGGAAGAAGGGATTTCCCACGGCTTGGGCACCACCAAAGTGGGAGCACATCCCAGGTATGGGATGCTGAGGGGGGCTTGGGGGCACGTTCCGGGTGGGAAATGCGGGGTTGGTTCCAAGGGGATCCAAGCGGGGTCCCAGTGGGATCCAAGCGGGATCCAAGCAGGGTTCCAGGGGGATCCAAGCGGGGTTCCAGAGGGATCCCAGTGGGATCGGGGTCTCTCTCCCGGGCTCGCGCTGACCCCTGGCGGCAGCAGCGGCAGCGCCTGCAGTGCCCGGCGGGGCCCGCAGGGGGCGCGCGGGATTCGCTGGGATGGGATGGGATGGGATGGGATGGGATGGGATGGGATGGGATGGACCTTAAATCCCATCCAGTGCCACCCCTGCCATGAGAGGGACACCTTCCACCATCCCAGGCTGCTCCAAGCTCCTTCCAGCTTGCCTTTGGACACTTCCAGGCATGGGGCAGCCAAGAATTCTTTCACAGTGTCCCATCTCTCCCTGCTCTCTGGCAGTGGGAAGCCATTCCCTGTGTCCTGTCACTCCATCCCTTGTCCAAATCTCCTCATCAGCTCCTGTGGAGCTTCTTCAGGCTCTGGAAGGGGTTTTAAATTCTCCCTGAAGGCTGAACATTCCCAGCTTTCCCAGCCTAACTCTGGAGCTGAGGTGTTCCAGCCCTTTGCTCTCTGAGCTGAAAAAGCTGGAAAAAGATGTAAAAACCCCATGGAGCGACCCATATCTTTGGGAGCAGCAATTAAACACCGCAGGGCCGCTCCGGACGAGGTGGGATATTGGGAAAAACCCATCCAGGGGGTGTTGGCTGTGTCAGGAGTCGCCCGGGAGGTGAGAGCGGCTTCCAGCGAAGCGCGGCCGGAGCCGCATCCCGCTGCCGCTGGATGGCAGCGGAGCTCCGCGGCATTCCCGATCTGCGGCATTCCCGATCTGCGGCATTCCCGCTCCTGGCACTGCCTCCATCCCCCGCTCCCGGGGCTGCCTCATCGGCCGCATCCATCCCCTGCTCCTGCTCCTGCACCGCGGGTTCCCGAGGCTGCTGCTCCCCGGGAAAGGCAATTCCCAACTCCTGGGATGCCCATGGATGCCCCAAACCCCAGCGGTTATTCCAGATCTGGACTTGCTCCTTGTGGGTGGCTTCCAGCTCTGGGTGTTTCAGGGTTCTGGAAAAGCGCAGTTTGGTTCTTGGCTCCCCAGAGCAGAGGGATGAGGATGAGGAGGGAGCAGATCCGTGACTTTTACAGCAAAAACCTGTGGCACTTGGGAAACCTTTTAAACTTGATCTGGAATGCTGCTGATCCAGGAATGTGGGGTTTGGGGAGCGTGGAGAAGGACACTGGGGGGGTTTGCTTGGGATGGCTCCAGCACTCCCAGCTCCTCGTGGGATGGCTCAACCTGCTCCCTTCTCCCAAAGAAAAGCTTGGAAAGCTCCGGCTCTGCCTCTCCCTTCCCCAGCTCCCCGGGGAAAAGAGGGATCGGGATTGGGAGCTGGGGCTGGCTCTGCTTGCACACGGGAAGGGTGAATTACGTGGGATAATCCCATATAATTCTGAGAGGGGTGAATTACTGAGCGATAACCCCGAGTCTGGAAGGGGTGAATTACTGTGGGGTAACCCCAAGTTTGGGAGGGGGTGAATTACTGAGGGATAACCCCGTGTTTGAGAGGGTGAATTACTGTGGGATAACCCCGAGTCTGGAGGGGATGAATTACTGAATTACTGAGGGATAACCCCGTGTTTTGGAAGGGGTGAATTACTGAATTATTGTGGGGTAACCCCAAGTCTGGGAGGGGCTGAATTACTGAATTAATGCAGGATAATCCCGAGTCTGGAGGGGGTGAATTACTTAGGGATAATCCCATGTTTGGGAGAGGGTGAATTACTGAATTACTGTGGGGTAACCCCGAGTCTTGGAGGGGTGAATTATTTCGGGATAACCCCGTGTTTGGGAAGGGGTGAATTACTGAATTAATGCAGGATAACCCCGAGTNTGTCACTTTGTCCCCAGTCTGGGGTGGCTGTGGTGTCACTGCTGTCTCTGGAGCTGCTTCTGCTTCTTTGCGCTGCGCTCTCAGGCCAAAGCATGAGGGGTTTTGGAAGTTTTTCCTAAGGTTGTAGGAGAAAAGATGGTTTTTGGGGTGTGGGGTCCTGCTGGCAGGCAGGTGGTTTGGATATTAGGAAGAAGTTTTTTACAGAAGGGGTGTTAAAGTTCTGGAGTGGTCTGTGGAGATGGTGGAGTCACCATCCCTGGGTGGGTTTAAAAACACAGACTGGATGTGGCACTGGATGCCAGGGTTTGGGTGAGGTGTTGGCGCTGGATTGGACTCAATGATCTTTAAGTCTCTTCCAGCTTGGTGATTTTGTGATTCTGTGAATTCTGAGGTGCAGCCAGGGGCGCTTTGGGAGCTGTGGGGTGGCAGCTCAGGGGGTTCCTGTGATGCTCTCCCTGCCCATCCTTGTCCTGCACACAAACCCGGGGCTGGCACTGCCCCAGCACCAGGGAAGGTGGCCCTGGAGGGACAGGAGCTGCTGCCAGTGCTGGCACCTGGGCTGCCAGTGACACCAAGAGGCAGGTGCCCGTTCCCGAGGCTGGCACTGCAGGAATTCCAGAGCCTGGAGAGCAGCTCCCTTCCCTGCTGGTGGGGTGGGATGAGCTCCAGGAGGTTTCCTCACAGCCAGCTTTTCCCTGGGCTTGGTTTGGTTCTTGTTCCAGCATTTCCTGAGCAGCTGGAGGGGAAGAGAGAAGGAGGGATCCTCTGGGGCTCCATTTGGGGCTCTGGGGAGGGGCTGGAGATGCTGCACTGGGGTGGGATGGGGACAGGAGGGTCCGGCTTGGGGGGACCCGGCCACCAGTGGCCACTGGGAGGGAATGGGAGGTGAATCCATCACCCCAAAGGGGGTTGGGATTTGAGGTGAAGCTCCCCATCTGGAGCTGAGCTCCTCTTCCTGGGCTGTGTGAGGCTGAGGGTGTGCAGAAAACTCCCTGTGAGAAGGGAAGGAGGAGCTGCACATCTGGAAGTGCCTGGCAGGGCCCTCTCCAGCTGTTTTCCATGGAAATGCCACCCTCAGGCCGCAGGGATCCCTGGGGACAGCGGTTCCTGCAGCCCTGGCAGGATGGTGGGTGTTTAATTGTGGGTGTTTAATCCCTGTTCCTGGGACAATCCCTTTTCCTGTGGAGGCAGGACAAGGTGGAAGTGACACCTGGCTGGGGGAGGGAGGACAAGGACCAGGACATCTCCTGCTGGACAGGCCCCTCCATAAAGTGCCCCTGACCCTCCTGGCAGCCCTGTGGGATCTGTGGGATGTGCCCAGCCCAGGGCTCGGAGGGGGAGGGAGAAGCTTCCCAGCCCAGCGGCCTGGATGGGGAATAATGCTCCCCTTTTTATGGCTTCTTCAATTGTTCCTGAAAATCCTTTTTAAAAGCAGGAAAGTTCCTTCCTTCCTTTCAGCTCCCGGTATCTTGAAGAATTCACTCCATTGTGAGGCCAGGACAGAGACCCTTCTATGAGGGCTCTCCTCGGGCCCCCCTCCCCGTGCCCCATCCCAACAAGCCCCCATTCTCCTCTGAAGAGGGTCCCTCTGTCTAACGCCAAGTAACTCTTAAGGGTAGCATTTATCCCGGGCCACTCAGCTCACAAAGAGTGCTGGAGTGTCAAATAAACTCCCCGCAGCCTGCAAAGAGCAGAGGAAGAAAACACAAAACCCCCTTTCTTTCCACCCCTGCGGGGAAACAAATACGGACTTTGTGCCGGCGGCAGCGGCGCCCTAACGAGCCCGAGCGGGGCTGCTGCGAGCCCGGGTGGCCACGTGAGGGGTGAGGGGGGACTCCAGACCCCCCCAAAAACCTACTGGCTGTCCCCTGTCCCTCCTGGCTGTCCCCAGGGGGACCTGACACACAGCAATGACTCCAAAAGCCCCCCAAAAATCTGGTGGCTGTCCTTGGAGGGACCTGACACATGGCAAGGACCCCAAACACCCCCAAAAATTCTGCTGTTTGTCCCCTGTCCCTGCTCCCGGTTTGGGGAGGAGCTGCTGTGCTGGGGTTGTGACCAGAGAGAAGGGACAGCCCTGCCCAGATCCTCGGGGGGC